CCAAGCAATTTATTCAATACCTGGAATCATCCAATGAGTTTCCATATTTCTGCAAATCATGCAGACCCAAACTGGATCTGTCTGAAAGAGTTGATACCATCGAAACCATTGAAACATCCCCTACCATCCAAACCATTGAAACATCCCTTAACACCATAGTAGCATCCTTGGACGCCGTAAAAGAAAGAATATCCAACCTTGAAAAAAAAGACACAACGCAAAAACCTGAACATCCAATAGGTACAAACCACATATCTACCCAACAACCACAATCCGATCCAAAACCCAATCCACAAATAAACACAACACAGACAAATATAGATAGACCAATCCTCACCAGAGAAGCCGTTGAGCGTGAACGGAAACGTCCAAACGCCATCTTATTTGGTCTAGAGGACATCAATGTCAATGATGACATCACAACTGTCCGAAACATCATCAGAGATTATCAAGCATCAACCATCTCCGCTGATGAAATACTTGACATTTCCCGCATCGACCGAGAGCTCAAAAATAGAGACGGCTCTGTGGCCCCACGCTTCTGCAGGGTCATTTGCAAAAATGAATCAAGCAAACGTAAATTCATTTATACTATAAACTCACTCGCCAAAACCAACACCAACCATAAGAACCTCCGTTGCCGCCCTGACCTAACCATACAGCAACGTGCCCGCTCCCGTGCACTCCGCATTGAACTCAAAAACCGTCTAGACAATGGAGAGAAGGACCTGTACATTGACTACCATGCTGACTGTATCAAAAGTAAGCCACGCAACCCAATACTCAGCTTCTACCCTCAACCACAACACTACCTCAACTGATCCACCATCACCCAAGACTAGGCACGCACGCCCCCAACTACCTCAACTCCAACTACTGCCGGCCTTAAATGCAAACTACTCAATGCAAGAAGCCTCGTGAATAAAATACCTGAATTTCTCATCCTCCTAAATATGGCTAACTTCGACATTATATTTGTCTGTGAAACATGGCTCAATGCATCTCTCCCCGACTCCATTACCACAGTAAGAGACTATCATGTTTACCGATCAGATCGTGAAAATCGTCGAGGAGGTGGTGTTGCTATATTCTATAAAAAATCCTTACATCTAAAAAATATCCAAGTTACCCAGGAGCTTGCTCTTCCTGAGACCATCATCTGTGAACTATCCTTAAATATCACAATTCGATTCTTACTATGTTACAGAGCACCTGATTATGACATCGAACATGTAAACAACCTAAATACATTACTAACATGGGCTGCATCCTGCCCATACCCTTTTATCTTTCTTGGTGATTTCAATCTACCTCATATTGACTGGACCCTAAATGATTGTACAACTGAAA